GGAGCCGAAAACCGACAAATCCCCCCCCTGGGGGGGGGTGGTCATGCCGCAATCCCTTCTCCTCCATTCTCCTCTCAGGATCTTGGGCATGCACGCACACGTGCCCAGTGTGAGTTTTAAGCCACCGGATCCGGGATGTGAACCGCGGTCGACTATGTGGGAGTCCAGCGACATAGCCATTACGCTAACTGCTGGTTCCCCCCTGATGTGATTTTCAGAAAAGCAGCTGGCTCCAGGACTTCAACCACATAGTTGGCCAAGTAGGATCCAGCCACCTTAACCTCCACGCCACCTGCTACCCTAATTTCCTACAATTTTAAGAAATCTTGTCATCTACTCCATTTCTTTTCAAGACAAAATATTTAAAATAAAACCAAATTATTTTTCACTAAAAAATAGTATTTTTTTTATTGCACAAGACTAGAAGGAAATACATCAGAATATTAATCTTGGTTACCTTTAGGACTAGGTATGATATATTTTTTCAAATAATTTTTCAAATTATTTCCTAACTTTTTATAATTTGAAAAAACACTATAGTAATTTTCTAAATTAGAACATGTTAAAGATCAACCAAGGTATCTGTTAAATGTAAAACGCTGAATCTGAAGACATGGAGAAAAAACCTTAAACTGTACTATCCATTACAGGAGCCATTAACCACAGAGAGACAGTAAATTTAAATTTAAAAATTTAGTTCCTCAGCTGTACTATTCACATTTCAAGAACACAACAGCCACTTGTGACCAATGGCTACAGACTGAACAACACAATAGAGCACTTTCTTCATCAGAGAACGTTCTACTGGATAGTCCTACCTTAAAAATATATTACTATTCTGCTGGCCACAGGCACAATTATTTTGGCTTATGATTTAATACTAGAGAATATGGGGCTATGACAGTTTTGGACTTGCCTTTTCACCATAATTAGAAATTGGGATAAACACCTGTTTTCAGATTCTGGTCAAGAAGTAGCCCAGAACTGTCACCCTTGCGAAATCTAAGTGACCCTATGACTGCCCAACCTTACTATCTAGAGGCACCCCCAAGCAGCATAGCAGGAAAGAAGACCCCAGGCAGAACCCAGCAGTCACACTGTGTTAAGAACGTGGTCAGGATTCAGGACAGCTAAGACAGCAAGAGTAGAAAAGAGTAGAGAAGAGCTATACAGAGAAAGAGGTGAAATCTGCAAGATTCCCAAGCCGTCCATATTTATTTCACCTTAATAAGTCACACAGGAAGAGATTCTATGCCTCAGAAAACATCATAGCCAGCTATTTCCAAACAAGAGGGAAAAAGTCAAGTAAATTATTCTTAAGAGAATTTCTTAAATTTCTTTTTACAGGCCTTTAAGGAAAAAACAAAAACGAAAACAAACCCAAATTCCCCTAATATTGCTATGTAGGATTAATGGTTTATGACTATTGTACTAAAGTCACACTGAGGATAATCTTCACCCTATCCTTAGTCAAACCTTACGTGCTGCAATGAATGGCACATGTAGTGCTTATACTTTTTCTTTTGAGAAATTCTTAGTTCTAAAGTATGCTAACTTAATGTTGCCACTAAAAATGAGAAAGCCTAAACAGACCCACCTTCAAAACAAAGTGTTCCGTCTATGACTAGATTGTCACATGGACAATCATTACTGCCACAGAGAAAGTGATAAAAAGGAGCCAGTCATCATCTTATTTTGTAGCAGTTCCCAGGAAGAGGGCAAACCCTGTGTGTTCACTCCAACAAAAAGTGAGCTGTTCAGGTTTCTTCCGGTATTTGAAGAAATGAAGCAAGCTTATAAGCAAGGCTGAAAACCATGTGAGTAGGGTCCCAAATATTGCTTATTTCTATTTGCAATAAAGAAAACAAGGTATAATAGAGTAAATGAGTGGTCAAATATCTTGTATTCTGAAATTTTTATCTTTAATTTAAAAAAGAAAACGTAAGCTAAGTCCAAAGAATAGTCACCCTTGAGTTGATCAAAATTAAGATACCAGTACAAGGGCAAATAATTTAATGAAAAGAAGATACAATAGAGGTTTAAAATATACTAGCTACTAAAGACGTAGTTGTTTCAATATTAAATACCTTTAATAGGTGTAAGAATATTAAATACCTTGTAAATACTTTAATAAATACCTGATGAATAACTAATACTTAAATTCCTAGGTTAAACAATGTTACTATGTGTTCCATATTTTTAATCATCAGTCTATATTATTCACTGTTTGTGTGAAGACTTGATAGCTTATATGAGCAAATTTAAAATGTACAGAATTTACTGTGAGTTCACTTTTTTGTAAAGGAAATTGTGAGACCTATGCATGAAGAGAAAACAATCCTTCAGTGTTCATTTATGTACACTGCCACAATCACTTCAGAGGAAGATGACACACTGACAAGTACCTAAGTACTACTTCACTGCAAAGGACATCTATCCTTGACATCACGTTACAAAACTAAAAACAGCTTCGTTCATAAATTTGGGAGTCTAGAGACACCTTGTGATCAAACTGATCAACTACATGCCTCAAGATTCAGAAAGTCATAAACTATTATTGAAATTACTTTATTTATTATTATTAATTTGCTCAACAAGAGTAACAGAGAGATAAAGTGAAAGCAAGCTGCAGGTCCCAGACTCTAACCACAGTGGGCCATGTGTGAGACCAGTGCCCTAACCACCATGGCACCTGCTGGCTCCTATTTATTCTTAAAAACAGTAGGCAAAAAGTTTTTGTCTCTAATAGATGTACATATATTTTTAAATTAATAAACAGAGGATGTTTACAATTTATCAATAGTTTTAATGTGTAGATAACTAAAAAATTCAACCCCGAGGTTTTCATTCACCCTCAAGTAAAGAAACTTTTGTTCTGGGGCTGCGGGTAGTACAGAGGTTAAGGTGGTTGGATCCCACATGGTTGGCTTTGTAGTTTGAGTCCTGGACCCAGTGGCTTGAAAGTTATGCTGGGCATGTATGCCCAGAATCCCAAGAGGATAATGAAGAAGAGAGGGCCATCCCCCAAGGAGATGATTTTTCACTTTCCCCTTCTCTTTGGAGAGCACATGAACCCTATTACCAAAGGAGGGGAAAAAATTAAAAGGAGACTTTGTTTATTAAAACATTATTTGGTTTAATAAATGGCATTTTTTTTATATGCCAGAAGGTACATGCACTCACGAGAGAGAGAGAGAGAAAGCATGTACCATGCTGAAATCCCCTTCTCCATTTCAATAACATGTCAAGATCTGAGGCACACACACAACAAACCCAGTGTATTGTTCAAGTTACTGGGGCCAGAATTCAAACCATGGTTGGTTCTGTGGGATTCGGCTCCCTTAACCAGCAGGCTACAGGGCTGTCCTTAAGTAGCATTCTTTACTTCTACATCAGAAGTCTTCGGTGTGCCATCTCTGCCAGAGGTAGCCATTAGACTGACATGTGTTTACTGTTTTTTTTTTTTTTAACCACCTATGCACATTTCCCTCAACAATACAATGCACAATTTTAAAACCCAAGTAGTAAGCAAAGACTGTGCTGTGTAGGGACAGATGTACCAATTTCACCATCTGTTATCCCTCTGAATAGCTACACCTTTTTGGTGTGTCATTCTTACCCTTCAAAGGCCTAATTCAAATTCCACTTTCTCTCCAACTTTTTAAGAAAATCTATTTAAAGTGTTAATTTTCTTTTAGTTCTATTAATGTTGAGAATTGCATTCTTTTTTAAATTGTATTTTATTTGTGATACATCTTGCACACATGTACATGAGATACAAAGAAGAGAGAGAGAACACCCTCCACAGGTCTGGTTACTCCACAGCCCCCTTCCTCCAGTTCCCTAGCGCACAGGGATCTCGGGCACTCATGGATGCCCAGCATGTTTCAGACTGGACCAGGGATCCAGCTTCTCTTGAGCAGTGCACCATTGCTGTACCATGGAGCAAGCCTAATCTCCTTCCAACTATTACAGTTCCCAAGGTGGCCAGCCAGTAGAGCACCAGTAACACAGTGTCCTGTGATGCAGGACTCAAATGTGAAGGTACCATGTTTGCATCTTGAGGCCTCCTGGGATATGTAGGGTCCATGCATGCATGCCCAAGATCCAGATCCAGGCTAACTAAAACTGATAGTGGACTGCAGTGTGAAGACCCTGCTGGAGTGTTGTGTGTGTTTCACTCTCTCATTGAAAAAAAAAAAAGAAAAAAAAAAATCACGTTTCAAGAATTTCTCTGTATTACTGAATTTTCAAAGAGTCATGTTGTTAGGGAACCAACAGTTAGCGTAATGGCTAGAGTCATGTTGTTAGGGAACCAGCAGTTAGCGTAATGGCTATGTTGCTGGACTCCCACGTAGTCGACCACCGTTTGCGTCCTGGACCCAGTGGCTTAAAACTCACACCAGGCGCGTGTGCGTGCGTGCCCAAGATCCTGAGAGGAGAATAGAGGAGAAGGGATGGCGGCGTGACCATCCCCCCAGGGGGGTGATTTCTCGCTTTCTGTCTCTCTGGCGAGTGCACGCGCCCTATAGCGAAAAACCTCTCAAAAAAAAAAAAAGAAGAACCATGTTGTTAAACCCTAATCTGTAATCAAATTATGACACACAAGGGCCAGCAGGTGGCACAGTGGTTAAGGCACTGGACACTCCCATATGGCCAACCATGGTCTGAGTCCTAGACTTGGTGGCTTGCTTTCTCTCTCGCTCCCTCTCTCTCTCTCTCTCTGGGTGTGGGAGTGGGTGTGGGTGGTCTGATCAAATTAAAATAAAAACGAATAAAAAAAATAAAATAAATAATTATTTAAAAAAAGATTATGACACAAATACAACTGCTCCTCAAATGGGTTTCAGTCTGAGAACACCTCCTAATGCTAAGTCTCACACTATAGCTATGTCAGTATTGGCATAGTAACTGGTACAGGAAGACTTCAAAAAGTTCGTGGAGAGGGCAAGACAGTGGCACAACCGTAAAATACAACACAGTGTGTTACTCTAAAGATTGACTAGTAACATGTTTGAACGTGAGGTGAAATGACATTAAGTGTCTGCATAAGCTATGTTTCAGTAACGGTGGAAAGGACAGCGAGATAGCTTAGGTCCTGTGTATCTCCCCATCTAGGAGAACAGACAAATACACAAAAGCCCTGATGGAAGTGTTGTAGTCACTAGTACTGTCAACCAAAATTTTCAGGCTCTCCCCCCTAGAGCTGCACTTCCCTGTCTCCTTGAAATTAGGAACAGCCATACAACTAGCTCTGACCAGTGAAACATGAACCACATGTCATTTCTGAACAGAAACTAGGAGTAACTTGCCACTCTTCCTTCCATCACAGTGACATTGCTCCTGACAGGGGCAGTTCCTCTGCCTGAGTGAGAGCAGAGGGCCTGTGACTGACTGGCAGCCCAAGTGAGAATTAAACTCATGTATTAAGCTACAAAGGTCTCGGGTTGTTTATTACCACAACTTAACCTACCCTATCCAGAGTAAGGCAACAGGTCACTTTGATAAAGAATGATGGGAACGCTAAGGAAGGACATAACATCTCATTCATATCTGCTCGGTCTTGTTAATAAGAATATAATTTTAGAAAAATTAATACTTCTCCTAACTATGTGACTGAAAACTTTCAAGTCTGCCTAAGTAACTAAAGCAGCATTTGGTTCTTCTGTATAGGTTCCTTTCAAAAGGATTTTAAACTTCCATGAAATTTGTGACACAGAATTCAGTTTAGGTTTCTATGTAGCAGCTTACCACTAAGCAATTCAATCCAGTTCTGGACTGTTTCTGGAGGCTGAGTCTCTTTAACATGCTTTAGTGCTTCATCAAGAAGAACATCCCCTGTTGGAGCATCCGACTTACAGATCACCTAAAATGTCAGCAAAAAATGAAATGATCCACTGGTGCATTTTTTCTGACTTGATATTATTAAAAGAAGAATAAACAATTATATAAATAATTCATTATATTTAAGGTCCAAGTATTTGTACACTATCAAAGTTCAGATTTTAAATAAATTCTATGTTAAGGAAATCCAATATTTAACCTAATCAGATTAGTTCAAACCAAACATGAAAATAAAAGTTTACACTGTTTTCAAGGTTCACTGCGAACCTTGGGCTACTTAATCCAGAATTCATTCTTTAAATGTAATTATTAGGTCCAAAGACAGTCTCAATTATATGTAAGAAATCAGAAGACAACAAAGATGGTCTTTCATATCAGTGAAAAAAACAAATTTTTCAAAAAATGTCATTAAAACAACTGGTTAACCAATTGGGAGAGAAAATTAAGACTTGGTTCTTCTGAGTTTATATCACAATTAAAGATTTAAATAAAAAAATATAATTATGGAGGTGAGAAAGAAAAACTATCACCACTAGAAGAAATGTTAAAGAAAATACCAATAGGTTTGATTACATTAAAATTCTAGTACTATGAAGTTTTTTAAAACCTGTATTGTTGGGGCCATACAATGGCACGTGGTAATAAAGCAGTACTCAGTTGGGAAGAGTCCTGATTCACACCAAGGGATCTTCCTGAGCACACTGGGTGTGCATGTCCATGGCTCAGGCCAGCTAAGAGTAGGGGAGGATTGCATTGTGGGATGCCTCTCTCTCATTCCATTACATGAAAAGAAATGAATGAATACTTTAAAGAAAAAAAACAAAGGGAACCAGCAGTTAGCTTAATGGCTATGCCACTGGACTCCCACGTAGCCGACCGTGGTTCGCGTCCTAGACCCAGTGGCTTAAAACTCATGCCAGGTGCGTGTGCGTGTGTGCCCAAGATCCCGAGAGGAGAATGGAGGAGAAGGGATTGCGGCGTGGCCACCCCCCCTGGGGGGTGATTTCTTGCTTTCTGTCTCTCTCTGTCTGTCTGGTGTCGCCCCACGACCTGTATCGAACCCCCCCCCCCCCCCCCAAAAAAAAAACCATACTGGAAAGAGCTCGATGGAAGAATAGAAAACTTTAGAAGTAGGTATGAGAAAGTAAAATGCTATACTGTTAGCCAAATACTGGGAGCCTACAGCCTTCATTCATGTTGTTGGCTAAGGAATCAATTTCTAGTTAAACTTCTCTAATACCAAATTGAATGTAAATACAGGAATCACAATGTAAGCTTCATATTTTCTATTATTAAGTTGTCAGAGAAGTCATGACTTTTTTACTATGCAAAAATGCATTATGACTTTTTGAACAACCCAATAATTTGTATTTATAAAGGAAAACAGTGGGTCCGGCAGGTAGCGTAGTGGTTAAGGGAGCTGGACTCCCACATGGCTGACAGCAGTTCGAGGTCCAGACCTGATGGCTTGCTTTCTCACTTCCTCTCTCTCTCTCTCTCACTTTGTCCCTCTCTGGTCAAATTAAAATAAGTAAGTAAAGAAAGAAAAGTTAAATAAAATTAATCCTTAAAAAAAAAGTTTAAAAAAAAGGAAAACAGTGAAAGTAATTTTAATATACTTGATTTAACAAAATATAGCCAAAATATTAACACACAATAATCATTTTAAAATTGAAATACTCAGCTATTTTATAATACTTCAAAAATCTAATGCTGCTTTAATTTACATTGTTTCAACCTACACTAGTCACTTTCCAAGCACTCAAGTATCAGTCTCATAGACACATAAGGCTAGTGGCTAACACACTGGAGAGTACAAACAGAACATTGTCACCAAAGAAGGTTCCATTAGACAATCCTATTCTAGAACATGCTTTCAGTAGAGGGTGAAAGAAAGCAAGAAAAAAGAATGCAGAACTGTATAGAAAAAGTTATGTGTCTGTGTATTGTGATCATGCTACCACTTAGCTTCTCCTTATTCGCTGCAATTTGGTCTCAATCTCCACTTCATATACTCACTTTTTTGTAACAGATTTCACAAGGTCACAATAACCTGGGTATAAGTGGATCATCTCTTTTTTTTAAAATTCTGTCTCTTAAATCTCTCCCAAATGTTAATTCTTTCTTCAATCACCTTTCCCATTATTCTAGTCTACCTAATCTGGTTGTCGTCATCTTTTTTTTTTTTTTCTTTTTTTTTAA